TATAGTACTCTGTAGTAAAGCTGTGTATTCTACTATAGTACTCTGCAGTAAAGCTGTGTATTCTACTATAGTACTCTGTAGTAAAGCTGTGTATTACCTGTGTAATATTTTGTCTCGTGTGTTTGGAACAATAAAGTTGACTCTATTTGATTTGTTCAGGGGCTCCTCCTGTGCTGGCCCCCTGGCGGCAGGTGTGGGTAGCGCAGAGAAGTGCAGAGGCTCAGCCCCCTGGAGCTTCCCGAGGACCGGACCGATCCTCCGCTTCTCCCCGCTGCTTCCTCCTCCACGCACCGTGAGCTGCGGGACTCACTCCGCTGCGGCCGCCGGATACACAAATCAGCCACGGGAATCGAACCTGCACCGCCGGAGACAGGTGAGTGGTGTCGCGGTGTCGCGACTCTCACGGTCGTGTGTTGGTGTGCACGGTGTGTAGCGGTGTGTTGTACCTGGTTCTAAACACCAGAATAAAACCGCGCTGGTTCCGTGAAGAGACGCGGAACACGCCCTGGATCTGCTGCGGGAACAACTTCCTCCAAACTGCGGTGACATCCACGCACTCTCTCCCGCACTGACTCCGTCCCCGGAGCCTCCTCCGTGCTCATTCACGGCCACGCTTCATGTCCACTGTCACTTCCGCGTGTTTTCTTTAAAGCGGGGGTCTGAGCCTCTGACTCCCAGAACCAGCGGGAGGACAGCCCGCGGTGCTGCTCACGCCGGACCGGAGCCGCCGTACCCGCCTGCCGTGCGCCGCAGCCCCGCAGTGAGCCGCAGCCCGCTGGAGGAGTCTCCACAGCCGGATACGTTGGTAACACATCCGCTAAAAAAACACACAGCGGCTTTTTGTCCACTTCTTCAAATGTGTTCCCGAAGTGACGGAGGGTGAGCGGGGGACGGGTGAGGGGAGGCGGGAGGCCACGGTGAGAACCAGGGAGTTTCCTGGCTCCAGCCCCGCCAGCCATGCCGGGTCACAGGTGGGGGCAGGCCGGGTAAACCTGCTCCGGAGCCGCCCCGGAGAAACTTCACTCAAACCGGTTATAATTCTCAGAACCTCCGTCTGTTCGCTCCTCCACCGTGACACCGCAGTTTATCATCTGTGTGACTCACTAACATGGAGAATAATCAGTTTCCTCCATGTGGAGAATATCTGCACAGGTGCTGCTGCAAACCTGAGTCTGATTTAATAACCTAAATCTATCCATCTATCTATCTATCTGTCTATTTATCTGTCAATCTGTCTATTTATCTATCTGTCTATTTATCTATCTATCTGTCTATCTGTTTGTCTATCTGTCTATTTATCTATCTATCTATCCATCCATCTATCTATCTATCTATCTATCTATCTATCTATCTGTCTATCTGTCTATCTGTCTGTCTGTCTGTCTGTCTATCCATCTGTCTATTTATCTATCTATCTGTCTATTTATCTATCTATCTATCTATCTGTTTGTCTATCTGTCTATTTATCTATCTATCTATCTATCTATCTGTTTGTCTATCTGTCTATTTATCTATCTATCTATCCATCCATCTGTCTATCTAGCTATCTGTCTATCTATCTATCTATTTATCTGTCTATTTATCTATCTATCTATCCATCCATCTATCTATCTGTCTATCTAGCTATCTGTCTATCTATCTATCTATCTATCTATCTATCTATCTATCTATCTATCTATCCATCCATCCATCCCTCCATCCATCTATGCATCCATCATCCATCTATTAATCCATCCGTCCATACTTGCATCTAAACACATATTATTGTGTTATTCACAGATTATTAATAAAACCATTTTATTTCACGTATGATCAAACTGTCCTCCAACTTCAACACTGACGTGAAGTCACCGTCGGTGTGTCCGAGCCCCGCCCCCCACCACTGCGTCTTAAAGTCGTAGTTTAAATTTCCACTTACAGATTTATGACAGATCAGCTGTTTCCAACTGTCCTTGTTAATAAGAACAATATTAACATTCGTGCAAACTGTTTGTTACCAGCTGGATTTGAAGTTTCCGTCTGGTCGACGAGCTGATGAACAGTTTTATCTCCTGAAAGTTCAAGTGAGACTGACTACACACACATCTAACTATAAATACACACTCCTCATCTCAGATCTGTGTAGCCGTGTGAGGAAACAGCGTAGTCTGACATTAAACTGTGTCTGGAGCAGTGTTCCTCTCCATGAATTATGCAAGGGCGTCGTTATTGTAAGGACTTTTATGTTGTGGAGGAGACGAGCGTCTGAATGTTGTGCGATTCCGATCACTCTCCGTCCCAGGAGAGCGGCTCTGGTTTGCCTGACAGCTGCAGATAATGTTGACAGCGATGATGAGAGCGGCTGTCAGGAGCTCTCAGATGTGAGGTGTGTGTGTGTGCTCGAGCTCGGCGAGCGTGTGCTAGTCACTAACGTGTCGGGGGGGGCGTGTTGCTTGTTTGCAGCGCATGTTAAAAACATTTGATTTGACTCAAGGGGAAAAAAGAATGTGGAGATCGTTTATTTTTTTATTTGGACGTCGGAGTTATTCCAGACACGTCACTTGTGGCCTCAGGGCGGTGAAGTGCAGCAATGCAACATGTGAGTCAACGTGTTGCTATGGCGATTTTGATAAACTTGACGTTCGGCCACGTCATGTGCAGAGAACTCAGGTCAGAGTAAACTTTGTCTGAGATACTTTCCTCACCTGTTGAAGAGTCAGAATGTCTGGAACTAACCTGTCGAGGAAGATGCGACTGGGATTAATAGGATTCACTTGATAATGATGGAAAACAGTGATTCTTCTGATTCATCATTTACTGTGTTTGTAAGAGGAGCGCGTTGTTGTTCTTGATTTTCTCCAAGTGTCAGACTTTGATGATCTCTGCTTGTGATCAACAGCTGGTTTATTTCCTCACCACCAATGACCCACGTTCTCTGGTTGCCTGGAAACACCAGCACATGAGGTTAAGGTCAAATGTGTCCGGAACCCGGTTTGGAGGCTGTGATAGTCAGAGCTCCGTCTTTCTCACTGCAGGTAGATGCCTGTGCAGTGATAGAAGGTGTGTTGGGCAGTAACAAGCAGTTTCTTCAGTCTGCGGTTGTTGCTCTGTGTTTTCAGTGACACATGGGACTGAATTCTTCATTGACTCTGTCATTGACAGCAACACTGCGAGCATGTGACCGGCCCAAACTTCCACACCGACTTGTCATGTTACCTCCCGTCCCGACTCGTCTTGTGACTGTCGCTCTGCTGCCTCCTCTCACGTCGGAGTGAAATCATTATTTAGCATGAGCCTCTCTCTTCTCATGGTGTGAGGAGATGTGTGATCACAGTATTAATAGAGGCAGTGCCACGAGGGCGTCATGGTTACGGAGGGAGGAGGCTGAAAGGGAGACGACAGGCGAGCGAGGTGCACGCTGACGAATTAACCGAGGAGGCTAATTTCATTTTTACGAGCGATTAAAAACAGATGTGATCTGTAGATTGTGCTAAATGTCAAGTCGGAGCTTTTCCAACCAGGAAACAAACGTATATTACTCCATTATCTCTAAATGCTGATGAGCTTTTAATTGCATCTTTGCTTTAACGGTCATTACTCCAAGACCATTTGTTGTCCACAAACTCAGGCCTGGTGATTCCAATCAGGGCGCAGGAGAGAAACAAAGATTTGTCTCTTAGTCACAGATTAGATTATTCTTTAAAAGGACAGGAACAGTAGTTTCCCTGTGCTGGAATCAAAGATGTGCGAATGTGTTGCTACCCTGCAACAGTACAGTCCTCGCTTGATCTCTGCTGTAATGTCTAACGAGCTTCTATGGTTATATTCTCTTAATTGGATGTTAAGGCGACTCCCCTTCCTTTGTTTCCCTCCACTTAAAAGCAACCAGGCATCATTTGATCTGAGATGTTACATTAACTCCGCAAAACGTCCCCTCGCAGCTCGGGTGTCAACGTGTTGGCATGTTTATATGTCCACATCGGCTGCTGACTTGAGTCTCGTCACGTGGCGCCGCTCGCTGTGTTTATTGGACGTGATGTGAAAGGTGCAGCCTTCGTTAACGGTGTGCTGCAGCACATGTCTTGTGGCTGCAGCGTAAATGCTCCAGTTTTATTTTCTGTAACTCAAAGTTACAACACCCTGGTGCTATGTTCAAGGAATTTTTACGATAGTGTTGGCACTCAGAAAATTCACAAAATGTGTGAAATGAGCCTTCACGCTCGACTCTCCTCTCACGCTGCTCGCTGCCACTGTTTACCAGGACAAGCAGACAAGCCGGCAGCTCAGCAGGGGTCTTGGATTACTGTGAAGAACCTGCCATGCCCCCTCCCTCCCAGAGACAGGGAATCCTATTTCAGCTTTGGATTCTCCCTGCAAACTTGAAGTGGTTCCGCTTTCCAATTTTCTCTGGCATGGCAAAGACAGAAAGCACTTGTGAGAACACCCGCGTATCCAGTTTCATGTGAATATAGAGCTCAGAGCCCGGCCTCTGGATGGGCTGGCTCGGCGTGAAGTATCTGAAGTAGTCAGAGATGAAGTGTGAAGATACCGAGTCCTGGATGTGAAGAGGAGAAGCACCAAAGTAGGAAATAATCAATCCGCTTCTAACGCGGCTGCACTCTGACTGAACCTGGACCACGCACTCATTCAACCCTATTAATCCCTCATTTAGCCACATGCCCTTCTTTTAAGAGGATTAAACCAGGTGATGGAAAGGCCTCTGTGATGGTGTCCAGCTTGTTCAGCAGCCGTTAGTTAATAGGTGAATTCCTGCAGTAGAGCAGAAGGCCTGGATCAACAGCTGGGATAAAGGAGAAGTGTGATGCTTTGCACCGATATTCACTTTCTTGCAGAAAGTTGCTGGAGGTGAGAGGGTTGAAGTCACGTCTGTTCACAAAATACACATTTACTGCAAGGAGTCAACTAACAGAAGATGGAGGCGTCTTTTTCATGTCTGAAAACGCTCAGGATCAGAGAACCAGTGGAGGAAGGATTTGTCACCGTGTGGGGATGACTCAGGTGTTTGACACGGTTTGCAGAATGAGTATATATAAATATGCAGCTCCGCAACGTTCAAAGCATTTTCAGGCATCTGTGACAGCCATGCACGCACACACACACACACAGATCTGCTGACACCACACTCCTTGGAAGTGGGTCATTCTAGATGTTATGTCCACAGTGTAGTTTGGACCTAGGGATGTGTGCTTCCCCCAAAGATGCAGATAAGAGTTGTAGTTGCTCGAAGTGACTCGTTTTCTTCCCCCTGGGGTTGTGAATGCAGAAAAGCAGGGGCGTCTTGAAAGGGAGGCGATTCGCTCAATTGCGACTGGAGCCATAAATCAGCCGTAAATCTTTGTGTTTGCGCCGGGAGCCGGGCCCGAGAGTTTCAGTGCAGGTTTTCCTCAGGACGAAAACTGCAGCCTCACGCCACGTCAGACTTTTTAGTTTGGTCTGAACCACATAGCAGGTGTGAGAGGGGCCTCACACCAACAGAGCAAAATTTACTGCGACCGAAAGTTTGGACTTTTGGACTTCTTTGAAAGTCTTAAACATTATAAGAAGAAGTAGAAGCAGTTTGGAGGACGGCTCCTGTCTCCATGTTTTTCTCCCCATAAGTTTTTTACGGCTGTTTAATGGACGGACAGACTCAAAGTGCTCGTGTACGAGGGAGTGAGCAGATATTTGATTGAGGTTTTCTACCTGTGTATTCACGTTCACCATTTCTCTTCTCGCCCAGAGGAGCCTGGAAGGCTTTGTGTGTGTTTGTTTGTGTGTGTGTGTGTGTGTGTACCTTACACAAGTGTGTTTACAACATGCCTGAAGCTACTTGTGACTCACATCTGTCATTCTCTTCCTCCCACAAGGGGGGGGGGGGGGGGGGGGGCGGGTGTACTGAAACATGTGCTTTTAATCTGACTGAGCCACATTTATCTCATTCAAACACAGCTCGCTCTGACCTCATGAAATCAAGTGCTGTCAGTAAACAGTCGGTATTTTCTCTTCAGCTCTCACACCCTCCACCTGCTGCAGCGAGCCGACGCACAGCTACTCCGGCAGAAGCTCTTATTCATATCTCTGCTGCGTCCAGTCTGTCGAATGTTTCCTCTGATAGTAAACTGAATATCCTCAGGGTTTCAAAAAACAACAACGTTCTTCTACAAAGGTTTTTATAAATTGAACAAAACGAATCAATCAATTAATCGCAAATTGTTAGATGTCGTCTACAGCTAACGCTAATGTCCGAGTCACTTGTAAATATATGATATTGTCCTCTGAGCTTTGCTGCTGTGATTGTATTGCACTGTTAAAACATGCAGCTTGATGCTATAGTGACACAATTCAGCGTTGAGGTAGAACAAGAACTCTGCTCGGCGCATTTCTTGTTATTTGAGTTCATCGCAGCTGAGACACCTTCACTATTTTGTACATCTTTGAAAGAGAGTATTTTATTTTTGCTTCTTGCTCGTCAGCTTCAGGCTTAAATCGTCTGCTGTGAGTCAGAGACTCTGCCTCTGAACAACAGTTGTCAGCCACGTGGGAATGAGAGCAAATTGCTGTTTGGCTGCAGCGATGTTTCATTTACCTGGAACACTCAGCTGGAACGTATCCCCCTGAGAGCCGCCTGAACGGAGGAGACGCTGATTGTGATGCAGCCGCAGAAAAATTCAGGCACATAAGAACTTGTGTTTGACAGGAGCCGACAATGCTTTAGTAAAAATAGATGCAAAGACGAAGTGATAGAGTGTGTGATGTCAGACACAGACTCACTCCCCTGTTTGGAGCAGTCAGACGTGGGCAGTTTTCGACGTTTTGATTTAAATTCTCTGTCTTCTCCACCCTCCAGGTTGATGTCTCCTCACCGAGCGCCCCCAGGGTCGCTTTCCATCCTGACTGCTGATCGCTCGCCACCTCTGTTAGCCTCTTGAGCGATTCGATTGGTCGGTCGCCCCCCCGCCCCCAGCTCAGAGAGACAACGCACAGGTTCCTCCGAGCCCTGCCTGGGCAGGACTGCACCGCCATGGACACTGAGTCCACCTACTCGGGCTATTCCTACTACTCTGGACGCTCCCGGGGATCCCACAGGCATGGGTAAGATTTGATCCTGCTAAATAATTCAGTTTCCCTCCGTCTCTGCTTCTGCTCTGGAGGACTGGAGCGTCGTACATGTCATTTAAAAGCTGCTGATCTGTGAATGTGTATCTGCTGTGACAATGAGTTTATTCTTCAGTGAATTAGTTTAGTCACAGATGGAAATCAGAAGTGTTGAGTCATTGATGGTAGTGAAGCGATTTAAGCTGCAGATTGTGAGTTATCTTAAGCTTACACATGTTTTTAGTTTTAGTTCTGAACTCCAGAATTTTCCATTTTGGCAACTTTTTATGCTGCAATTTTAACGATACGTTTCCTCTGAGAACTGACTCCTGTCACATGTGGAAACATCCAGATGTGTGGAGACCGTTCCTTAGTTTTTCCGTGTCTGCAGATGTTTCAAAACATTATTTAAAATGTGTATTTTCCTTTTGATTCTTGCTGCATTTTCCGCCACTTAATGTGAGTTTCTCCTCATTGTAATTTGTGTCCCTGGGTTTTCTGCTCCCTCAACCTTCTCCGTCCGCCTCCGTGATCCCCTCCTCTCTGGCTGAGCATGTGTGGAGGCCACAGCCCGTGTAGGCGCATTAATCTGTCAGCGTTGAAATGGCTGTGGTTGACAGGCGTCAGGAAGGCAGTGGGAGACAGGTGCTGAAGAGGCCTGACTGACTGATGGCTCAGCCGAGCGGAGATGAGAGGAGGGCATTCCTGTTCAACAACAGCCCCTTCCTTGTCACGGGCGGCCCCCTCCTGCTCGCTCGCCATACATATCCCGTGGTTCGCCGTTGCCGCTCCCACTATCTCGCTGCCACCTGTTGCCGTTTAAGGGACTTTGCGTGGTCCTGAAACGTGAAGCTCGGCCCTCAGTGCACGCCTGTCATCGTCTCCTCTCTCATGTCATCGGTCACTTTCTATCCCCTCGCCCTTTTATCCTTCTCGCCCTCTTTACCCTCGTTCCTCTCGTCCTACCCTCGTTTTTTTTTTGCTCCCTCGTGAATGAGTGCAGCAGCTGCCCCCTTTTCTCGCTGATTCTTGACCTTGTCTCTGTATCAGCTTCTCTCCTCCCACGTCTTGAATGGATTCGTCGCTGCCCTCTCAGGATGGGGAGGCGCGGGCGTATCGCTTGTTCCCCACTCGCTGGCATTCCCCAGGGCAGGAATGTGCCCCTGTAGCTCAAAGTAATGTGGAGCAAGAGTGGAATCAAAAGAGGGTGCGAGCTCCTGGTCAAACGAGCCTCTCAAATGAGTGACAGAAAAATCGGAGAGGGAGCGTGCGGCCGTCCACGCCAACCGCTTTTAACCACCCCTCTTTTAAACCCCTCTGCTATCCTCGTCTGGATCTTTTCACACCGAGGTAGTGCGACGTGAGTCCGCTCCGGATCACTGGTGCAGGGATTGGCATGTGTACAAATACACACATACAAGAACAACATCCTGTATTGTGTTTGTGCACGTGGGAGTCAATCTTAAATATAATTTATTAGACTATAATAGAAGAATTGACTCGGATTGGCTTGGATTTTCATTAATGGAAAGTGGAGACTTTTGGGATTTGGATATTTCCTCGTTTCCTTTTCATTTCTTTTCGTTTCATGTAATTATCCACTAGTGTCCGAGATATTACACATGTCATTTTCCTGTGGCTCAATTACTTGTTGAGATAAAACTGAATTAAGAGCTTTTTTAATCACAGCTTTACAAAAATAGTCTTTTCAATACTTATGCTAATAACAGTGAAGCCCATGAATGTTTTTTTTATTGTATAAGTATATAATGTTGTATATATGTGTATAGAAATAAGCCTTTAGGGTTTTTCTACCTGCAAAATACCAAACCAAAAAAACCAACATCGTAATGTATCATACTCATCTTTTTAATTCTATTCCTTATTTAAATCCACTCAGACGAGCATGATCGTTGAGTATTGAGCCAAAACTTGTCTCCGCCAATGTCAATTTTTAACATTTTAATGATTATTAAATTGCAAATCGTATATTAGCAGCCGCTCATGTGGAAAATTGGTTCATTTGATGGGTATAGCTCCAGGGAAGCAAGCAGCATATGCACAGGACCAAGAGAGTCATTGAAGATAATTCATTCACATTTGTAATGTCATTTATAGGTTCCTCGATGAAAGTCCTCTTTGAGAACGTTTTGTTTTTATTGACTGAATTACTTTAATTCTGTCATAAAACATTTAAGCGTTCAGAAGATTGGGTTCATTGAAAGATATTTTTTTAACTTATGGAAATAAAGAATATTATCAGCAGAGAAATCAGTAATTCAAATAAATATTTGTTGCAGCCCTAAACCTTTTGGGAAAAACTCTCCTGTCACCATCAGTCCTGTAATAACTGAGTCTGGCCTGTGAGCTGTGGGGACACGATGGTAGTTTGACAGTGGGAACGTGTTATTTTTCCCTGGAATGTGTCACCTCATTGTCGTGTTTCACGTGTGGAGCTAATCCTGGGGAGCAGCCGAGCCACTGCTTCAACTCAACCTGGTTCACATCACACGTCCAACAGCCGTCACTTTATCTGGTGGAGCTTATCGGTCACTGTAAAGAAGCAAAGGCCTCGTTCGGACGTGAACGTGTCAGGACGGGTGTTAACACCAGGTCTGACCAGTCATTGCTAAATTTTGTGGCAGAGGGTGGTTTTCTCTTCAACAACCAGCACCAGACACAGAGCTACAGATGTTTTCACCTCTGGTGCAACAACATCAGGGTTCCCACGGGGTCCTGGAAGTCAACAATCTGTAATGTGTTGAAACCTGCAGAAACCCTGAACAACATTTAGAGGTTTGAGACGACGAGCTGAGTGTGGTCATTTTTGATCCTGACCCCTCCCCTCCGTGCTCGGGTGCGTTGACACAAAGCTCCGCAGGCGAAAAACAGAGAACAAATTGGACCACGCTCACTTCGACGTGCCATGCTAGCTGGCTGTATTTCCTCAGCGGCCCTCCCTCTGTGTGGAGGTGCAGACCGTGATCACAGCCGCTCTCGTCCTCAGGTGTTCGAGGGAAGTGGCGCTCTCTAGCAGCCTAATTGGCAAGACCCTGCCCCACTTTTGCCAAGCAGTCCCCTTCCCCAACCCGCCTCCCCCCAATCCTCACTGCTCCAAAAAGCCTCACCCGTCTCAGGGATTCTCGCTGGAAGTCAAATTCCATTAATCAGATCATAGCGTGGCGCACTGTTGGAATACCAACGAGCCGGCTGCATGCTAATGAGGGAGGGGGAGTCTGTGGGAAAGGGGGAGACTGAGGAGAAGGTGTGTGTTGGGAGTGAGGTTTCTTTGCAGTGCGATCGCCCCAGAAGCTTCCTGGGGGGAGAATGAGAAATCAGGCCGGGGTAGAGAGGCTGATCTGTTCAAGCTGCTCCCCACAGCTCTGCTTGTGCATCTACAATCGCTTCTTTCATTTCTAAATGCTTTTTGTGCTCTTGGTAAATCTGTCGGACTTAAATCGTCCCTGCACCTTTTTCTCACACACTTGCAGTCGTGCCAGCTCGGTGAGAAGCAGGTGTCCCCTCACCCTTTCGTTCTTGACGGCAGCGCGTCTTCCTCAACGAATCAACTCCAGCACGTTTTCTCTGTTTCAGATTGTTCAATTCTAAAGAAGTAACGGCTCAATTGTTCACAAGAGAAACAAAAACCAGGATGTTTTTGTTGATTTCTCAGAGAGGAAGCACTGATCTGGAGATTTTAAATGTGGTTTCATATTGCATTAACTAATTTATCCAAACAACTGTTAGAACCTGAAATGCAGCTTTTATCCCAGATATCTTTTTCAAATAAAAACAGTAGTGAATTCTTCTTTCTTTCTTCCTACCATTACTTTGTCCCCAGAGCTGCAGGTCATTCTGCTGCAGACTTTGAATTACAATCACTGCTCTGTGCTCGTCTCCTCCCTGCTCCACCTCCTCCCCGATTAATAATCGTAATCAGTGACAACCCATCTGACTGATGATGTCTCTCACTGGAATTATCATTGCTGCAGTAGCGCTGATAGCTCTAATAACATTTATGGCAGTAATGATGGCTGTAACATATTTTAAAGGCTCTCATCCACTTCCTGGATTTATGAGATAACATTATGTCTCTCTGTCGGTGAGGGAGGTTTCTGCTGGCGGCTGAAGATTTTCTCTCACTGTGTGAAACTTTCTCGAGGAAACCGTGTCCACATTCTAGAGGAAGTACAAGAATAGTGGCGGAAAGCAGACTGGTCAACACCCTGTAACACTTGGATTCAATGCAGCTCTATTATACTGGAACATATCCTCTATACTGTCACACTCTCATACATCATGCTGATCCCCCTGCAGGCAGGATATCCTGTTCATTATGGTTATGGGCTGTTACGGTGTGAGTGAGATGCATTTAACTCCAGCTTTGTGTTTGATTATCAGATTATCAAACCACATCACGTGAGTTTCTGTGTTTCCAAAGAATCCCCGCTCAGAAATCCTGTGTTTGATCACATGAGTGTGTGGTCCTGCGTCTCCACTCGTCCAGTGTGTGAAATGTTAGAAATCAGTTCCATCTGTCATCAGCTGAGACGTGAAAACCCTCTCAGTGTGCAGCAGGCAGCCAGACATTCCCTCAGGGGTTTGTGGAGACCTCACCAGAGGTATAAGAAGAAAGACTATTTAGATGTGTCCAAAATAATGCTCATGTTGTCTCAATGGAGAGCATCATGCAAAAAAAAAACCCTCCTGTGTTGTGTAAATTAGATTAGTTTCACTTCGGTGTAATGTCGCGGGGACAAAAGAAGTGATTACTGTGAAACGAAATGCTTGGAGGCAGCAGGAAACTCAATTAGGATTTAGCAAAACAAAGAGAGCGGCATCTGTAAAGATCCAGTTCTACGTTGCAGCTGCAAAAGAACCACATGACGTCTCCTATTCATCTGATGTCCACCATGTTTGTCCAGCAATGAATATAAAAGTCATGGCTGTAATCGTTTTGTCACCCCTCTGTGCCGTTGACACCCAGTGGTCGGAGGCAGTATGTTATCGGGTTGTTTGTCTCTCCGTCCATCTTATTCTTGTGGACACGATGTCTCTGGAACACCTTGAGGGAATCTCTTTGAATTTGGTACAAACGTTGACTTGCACTCAAAGATGAAGTGATTCGATTTTGGTGATTGAAGGTCAAAGGTCAAGGTCACTGTGAGCTTCTGCCTGATGCATTCATCTCTTTAGGGCATATTTAGTATTTTATATCTGCATGAGATCTTTTCTCTGGGTTCACTCTGTCTCAGGTAGCTGTGTGTGTGTGTGTGTGTGTGTGTGTGTGTGTGTGTGTTCTGTTAAAAGTATAGAATACTGTATGTACCATGTTCAAGATGTCAGCAGCCGGAGGGGGACGGAGACAGATGAGGGATTAACTGGGGCTGCTGAGCCTGTCTGTGGTAAATGGAGCTGCAGAGTGGGCACAGCGCCATGTGCCTATGGTGATGCTGGAGACCCGCCGTTTCCGCTCCGCACAGATTAGGGCTGTGTAGGGGTCAGTCTGGCTAATGGAGCTCATCGCCTGGTAGAGAGAGTGATGTTGGGGGGGTAGGTTCTCCACAGGGGGCAGCTCTGGTCTTATCTGACTCAGCCAGCAACCCTCTGCACAGTGTGTTCATAGACAGCATGTAACGCCATGTCTCTTTCTGCAGGCTTGTCTCCGCTGCTTTGAATATGACCGTTTTTGATCCTGTCCCCTGACAACTCCACAACAAGGAAGCCTTTGTGTCTTGTGGTTTGTTATTTCTCTAACCATCATTTTCTTCTCTTTGCTCTTCTTCTCCAGGGAGCGAAGCCGGGACCGCCACAAGCCGCGCAGTAAAGACAGCCGCTCCGAAAAGTCTGTAACAATCAACACGCCGCCTGCAGAGCCGCTGCTGGGAGACTCGGCCGTTCGGGGTGAGCAGGTCCAGGTAGGGCGGAACATGAATATCACTTAAACACACACACGCATGACAAAGCAAGAATGACCCACAATTACTGAACAATTTTCCCACAAGTTGCTTTATGGATTCCTCACATTTTAGGATACAGTTATATCGGTTTGTCCCATTTACAACGGATTTGGAGCACTGGAGATGAATCAGTTGCTAGTCAATATGAGTTGGAGTGATAATTGTGTTTATCAGCCTGGGCTGGGACCGGCCATCTGGTACTTTAGGCGAGGTCTGGGCCGCCACATTCAGGAAATCTATTTCGAACAGGATATGGATGCAGCTGATTGCTTCTCTAGTCGGTGCAACTTTGCTTCATCCCGTTTGTCAGAGTCTGTGTTCGACTGCAGGGACTGGGTCAAATGTTGAGAACGGTCCAATGCGAGATAGAGAGACGGCCACAAGGACCCCCGCCAAAGTGGACCAGGCCAAACTACAACAGCGGCTTTGCTGTTCTTTCTATTTTTCAGTCAAAACTCTAATCTCAGAAACCATGCAGACTTTAATTTCTGTTTCTGCAAGATCAGATGGATTATGTGATAGATTATTTGGTAAAAGAGAAATACAAGGGAGGACATAGTTTATTATTTAATATTTTGTCTGTTGCCGTCAAACGCCTATCACAGCTCTTGTTTCGGCAGCTCCATCAGGATGTGTTTGCTCTTTGTGCCAAATCGACTGACTCATGTTTAGTTGAATCTACCAGACAGTCGATGCTTGTTGGACTCATATAAAAGGCAGAGCAGATAAAAGACAGGTGGATCAGATAGCTCCGTGTTATCTGGGCAGGCTGGCTGCAAGTTGGCATGTTTAGACATGAAGCTCCTGGTAGCACTTGAGTGAAGTTCTCGGTCCAACAACATGAGTAACAGCTAATTTATGTTGTTGAGGCAAAACATGACAGCTTTGGATCAGGAGGAATATTTTCTTTCCCAAACACTTTATGTATGAAATATCTATTCAGTAGATTTGAGAGTGGAAAACAATGAGTCTGCTCAGTTTATGATGTCGGCTTCTAATCTTTGGTGTCACACTCCTCCGTCTGTGTTCATATTGGAAAGCTTTTATCTGTGCGGATGCATTTTATTGTTCAGAAGCCTCCAGATGCTTTCTGATATTTAACCAAGAGGAGGGACTTCATTGCATTTTGATGAGCAGCCGATCTGTTGTCTGTCTTGTGAAAATGTGGGCCGTCGTTCCTCCTTCGTGCTCAGAGAGCCGGGATTTTAAAGACTCGCTGCTGGCAAGGCTCAAGTGTCTTTAATGAAAGATGAGATGGAGATTTTAGCACAGTTTCAGCCTTGGCTTAACCAAACCAAACAAGCGTCTGGCACTGTGGCCTTCATCAAGTGCTCAGTTTAACCCGCTGAAGGGAAAAGACGACAAATACAAACACGCACAGACAATCCCACATTCACCGTCGTTTACTGACCTACTTGGCGCTCACTTTCCCTTGTGGCAGGACTCGTTAGCACGGCCCGTGTGACTGTGTGTTTTATTGTCTGCGTACTGCATCTAATTTTGCCACATGACAGGATTTGCCACAGAGCTCACAGCATCCTTACTGTTTTGCTCTTCATGTCTTATTCATGCTGTGGCCTGCAGGAGTGCTGCTGACAGGGTGGGGAGTGTTTGGCTTTAGTTGGAGTAATCAGGGCCACCAATTCTACTGAGAGAGGGAGGCTCAGCACAAATCCTCATGCTGTGTGTGTGTGTGTGTGTGT